TGAGCAGAAATATTTAAAACAAATGAAGTGATCATGGCATTTCCTTGTTAACGTTTGACTGAGTTTATATGATCTTGAGCAGAAAACTTGGCATCTGGCTGGGCTTGTTGGTTTCTTTCTGGGTGTGTTTATATGTATTTGCAGATGGGGAAAGTACAAGCAAGAAAATAACTTGGTGGAAAATGTAGGTTCTGGGTTGTTTAAATTATATTTTAAGCCTGATTGCACCCTGGCCCTTGGAACTCCAGGCACGATCCCTTCTAGTAACTAAAATGATTTGAATGTTATGGGGCAAAGTTATATTTAGTTTGTGTTTGGAGAAAAAATAACAACCAAGCACGGGGGGGAGGCAGCTGCATTCTCATCACTTCTTCCCAAGTCACATCCGCGGATGTCAAACCCCACCCTTCCCCCTCAGCCAAAGTATTAAGGAATGATTCCCTCAGACTATTGGGTTGAGGACAAGGGGGGCTGAAGAAAACCTTCCCCCACTGGGCTTGTGTCGAAGTGGGGCTTAACTTACTGTAAGAGCTCCTTCTGTTCGCACAGGCCGTGGAGCCAGCTGTGCCCTCTCCTCCGTGGTGGGGCTTAAAAGCAGTGCCCTGTGGCTATAGAGCTGCCTTTGCCTGGTGAAAAACTGCAAGAGTGGAAGCAAGGAATGGTGACTGTTTTCTCTCCTTGCCATTCCCCCCCACTCCCTGACTATGAAAATGTATGTGTCAGTAATTTGGATGAAATATCTACCTAGGGCCTTGTTTTTGTCCTTTTCTCCCACATCCTATGGAAAAATGCTGGAAGAAGTAATTTCTATGTCCAAGAGCATCACAGATTGAAGATTCTCAGCACTTAAAAAGGCTGATGTTTTCAAGAATTGCTGCCTAATGGTTAAGAAATGAGGGGGAGCATGACATAGGGACTCCTTCCCCAGGATTTACACTCAGGACCAGAGAGCACTGCTTTCTGCTACTCTGTCTTGAAAGGATCCAATCTGGAGCTTTGGCCCACAGCTGCAAGCACATGGCAATTCACAGGATCCCCACCCCAGCCAGAGAGATGGTATATATTAGCATTAATTTTGCATTGGTAAATATAAGAAGTCACAATTTTAACAGTCTGATTTAACAAAATGTTTTCAGGTTTCAGAATGATCCCTTATGCCGTTGCTCTCCAGTTCTTGCCCTGCCCACAAACAAGGCAAGGGCAGTGCTATAGGGAGCAGCCAGAGGGTATTGCTCTCAAAATACAGATCTTTTCTGCTCACACACAATACAAAGCTGAAGTCTAAGACAGCAGAGGTTGTAACAGTGGCTGCTCGAGGAGTAATTTCATCTGTCTTTTACTGCTGCATTAGAGCAGCGAGGGATGGGAAGTCAGCAGCAGCCAGGGTTCAGTCTGTTTTTACCTCCCTGGCAGCTGTAGGTGAAGAAGCAGGTGCTTTCCTGGGATTCTGCCTCTCTAAGCAGCTGTAGAAATGTATCCAGCCGGTGGCCCCGGGCTGTGCCCTGGGCTCTGCTCCCACACTGCCACACTCAGCTGTGAGCACACACAGTGAGTGCCCCAGCCCTGCAGGATCAGACACCAGGGACATTCCCAAATCAGCGCCTTGGGAGAGCTAACTGGGCACTCTGCTCTCCTGGCCACCCCCTGGCATATTTACGGGCCAGTTCTGGAAGCTGAGAAGCTCCCATCAGTACCAGTGCTGCATGTGGGAAACTAGGGACTCAGCATGTTTTTACTACACCTTTTTTGCTCTGTTCATATAGCAAAAGATGGAACTGGCATAGAGAAACCCTGGACATTAATCTCCAGGAGAACCCGAGCGGTGCTGGGCAGCTCAGTGTATGGATTCAGAGGGGGAAGATGTTGTTGCCTGGATAGTGTGGGATTTCTGTGGTACCTCGTGCGAGGCAGCTCTGTGTCAGTAGCACCTGCTGCCCAGGGGATACTGGAGAAGGGCCTTTCTGCAAAACACACTTCCCCCTCTCCCCTGCCTCCCCTACAAAAACAGACAGCATAGAGTGGCAAGATGCGCCAAAGTGTGTCTTGACTGGAAAAGCATTCATTCATCACTGCTGCAGTCCTGAGACAGGGCTCTACAGATATGTAGTGAAATAAGACCCAGTGAATGCCTGTATATGAGAAAGAGAGACAGAGATCTGTGATGATATCATTTTATTCTTGCTGTAGCCCAGCTTTAGGAGGTCCAGCTACCACTGGCTTGCCAGGGCCTTTGAAGCCTCTGGCACATGTGAAGGTGCTGATTCCAGACAGTACTGCTTGAGCAGAAAGTTATTAATGCAAAGATGATAGGTAATAAAATGGGAGTATTTACAGCACTAAATGAACAGAAGCAAGGCTTTAGCATCTTTGTCCTGGGGCTGTACCCTACTAAGAAGTGCATGCTGTATCTGGCAAAATTCACAGCGGAAAGAACAGCGGGGGGAGACTTTCATTCGTCTTACCAAGAAAGTTGCTGAAGGAGCTAATGAAGGGCTGCGCTAATGTTTTTCTTTTCAGTCAGAAAGGCTCTAAGAAACGCACCCTTTTCTAAATGTCATAAAGGTCTGTGAATAGATCCTGTGACAGAGAGTGATCCAACAATTCCTCAGAACGAAAGGTCAATCAAAGGAAAATGGCATTTAGGAGGACCAAGCTTACTGCTGACCCAAACATGTGACAGATCCAAAGGTAACTCTGGTGCCATCAGGAGTGCTGCTCGTGCAGCCTGACCCAGAGAAGCACATGACGTGACTGGGAAACTATCTGATTCCTCCAGGTCTCAAAATTCATCAGGAGTCAACCTGAATGTCGGAAGGAAAGGGATTTTGAAGGAGCTACAACAGGTTTCCGAGCTGTGAGGAGGGTGCTCTTTCTCACTGTCCCTGCTTGCCCTGCACCAAACATTTTTCCCCAGCACTAATTATAGATCTGTTTTTGTCATTTGAATATGCATGGAGTAGTATCCTGGCTCACAAGCAGATTGCAGTGAAGCTACTCTTAAAATTTGACGTGGCTTGGTAGGGCTCTGGGTCAGAAAGGACCTCTCCAAAGGCCAACCCAGAATTTCAACAAGTCTGTGGACATTTCAGCTCCTGTGCACTGAGCAAGACACTGCACCCTGTAGGGAAATGTAGCTGCGTTTGGGGCTGGATCCTCACCCAATGCTGGTGAATTCTGCTTTATCCAAGCAAATACACACGGCCCCTCCTGATGGGTGGATTTCCACTTTAAAAGATTCAGCAGTGTGACTTGTGTCAGACCAGCATTCGAAGGATCTTGAGATTATCTCTCCAACCACAGAGTTGGTTGGAGGTCTCCCAAGGTGAAGAACATTAACAGTGTGGTTTGGAGTGCTTCTAAAGACCTGGAAAGGCAGGATTGGATTTCTCATGGTTGTTTTGCCAGTTCCCTTGGAGTCTGGGAAGACACCATTGGCTCAGATGATGTCCCACAGGGCCCTGCAGAAGATGTGCAGGGGTGGGTGTTCTCTTTGCCAGGGACTGACTTTTTCAGAAAAAGTGCTCTCAAGATCCCTACTTTGGGTCATCAGAAGTTCATCAGAATCTGTGTGTTTCTAAGACCCATTGATTTAACCAGTTAAACTCATTAATGAGTTTCAACCTAGTTCACAACTCTTTTCTCAGCTTGAGCAGCATTTCTGTTCAGCAGCAAAGCTGTGAAATTCATGGGTGCGATTCAACATGAGTAACTGCGACAGCAGCTCTGTAGTCATTCATGAGCTGTACTGTATGTACTGCCTTAGTCATGCTGGGGAAAAATCAGGCAGACTTTGGAATAATAGGAATTAGTCATGAGGAAGTGCAAATATGAGCTCTGTAGCTTATCCCCTGTGGGTCCAATCCTGCAAAAAACTAGAAACAGGAGTAAAATATGAGGGAACAGTTCCAAATCCCACAAACATCTTGTGGGTTTTGGGTGCAACTCAGCATCAGCAATCCTTAGCAAAACATTTTGTCCTTATGCAAGAACAGGACACTTATTATCACACCCATTAATAGACTATTCTGGGAAGAGCATTGCTATTACAGTCTGTGTGAGGAACTTGTGCAATTAATAAAACGGCAGAAAAGGCAGATGTGGGAAAAAGGCTCTCTGTTTCAACTTTTCAGAGCCTTAGGAAGAAATTCTGGTTGGAATTCATCTATGGGACCATCCCACTGTTGGAATCTTTATCACTTCTCTTTTCTGAATGTTGGCCTGTCCAAGTGCATCCTGTTATCATGTGGCAAACAGTGTGTTCACTCTGTGGCATTCCAGGGACACTCTGCTTTGCATGAAATTATCACCTTTTACAAAGAGCAAATATTTGCCAGGCAGGTCAAACCAGCAGGGTTGCTAAGGCCATTTATAAAAATATCCTCTTTTGGACTATAAGCAGTGTTAACATGTCAGGCTAAACTGGATCTTTGAGTGAAGCACTACCTGCTGAACGCTCTGTGTCCAACAACTGCAGGCTTATGTGTCTCAGATAAAGCCCATCTGGTGACTATTAAAGGGAATTACTGTACATACAACAAGAAAGGATTATAACATTTGGAGGGGGGGCAGTGTTTTGTTTTAAGTACCAGTCCTGTTACTAATTTTGCCTTCAGGATAGGTGTTAAATTTGAAACAACTACAATTTCTTTACCAAATACAGCGGAATAGTTTGGGTATTGGACTCCTTCTTGCGATAGGAAAATGCTGGAAATTTTGGAAAAGCAAGAGAGCCTGAGAATCAGGCTTCCTTGGGTGGTTAACTCGAGCTGCTGATGATGGCAAGGCTGCAGCTTCAGGTCTTGCACAAACCAGTATCTCTGTTGTTGTATCCCTCTGTAATTGCCTGCATTTTTAGCCTTGGTTGTAAGTGATTTTCGGTTACCACCTCTTACTGTATCTCTGTATAGCAGCCAGTGGCCTGACTAATGACTTGGCTTTGAATCAGTGCTGTATCACTGGCAAAAGTCATGACAGCTCTTCCTCTCTCTGTTCTTTCTTAGGCCCCCCAAGGATTGCCGATAAAGTGATTCACCGCCAGTCCGTGAGGCTGGGGAGGACCATCAAGCTCCTGTGCCCGGTGGAAGGCGACCCCCCTCCCCTCACCATGTGGATGAAGGATGGACGGACTATCCACAGCGGCTGGACAAGGTTCCGGATCCTTCAGCAAGGGCTGAAAATCAAGGAGGTGGAAAGCGAAGATGCGGGAACCTACATTTGCAAAGCCACCAACGGCTTCGGCAGCACCAACGTGAACTACACCCTGATCGTAATTGGTGAGTAGAGCTGGAGAAAAGCCAGGCCTCACCTGCTGTGGGGTGAGCTAGCGAGCTGATGTCTGCGTAGCTGTCAGTGATTGCAGATTTGCTTTGCTAATCATTTACTGACCTCCACTCTTAACTGACCCTTTCCAGTGTTTGAGGATTGCCAGAGCTGGCTGTGTTGCTGCACATCTTCTGCTGCAGCCGGCTGCAGGCAGATAAGATTGTGCAGTGCCAAAGGTTACAAATAAGCAGAAATGATGCAATAGTCACTAGGGCCCAGATCACAATGAATTCCACACAGGAAAGGCTGTGCGATAAGGAGAGGTCACACTGATCTTTATATTTGCTGTTGGAACAGGATAGTTCTCAAAACAAATGTTGAGGCACCCGTATAAAAATGCACAGCAGGGAGATCCATGTACTGAGCTTTTGCAAAGCTTGGTGTCTTCAGGAATAATAATATTTGGGTTGAAACAAAGCTCAGAGCTGGCATGTAACCCAGGGATGCTCAGCTCCTGAGAAATCCTCTTGATGGAGGGAGGATTAAAAAAGCTTCAGGTGCTGTCTCAGTGGCCATGGGTTCACTGGCAATGCTTTTGGCCATCTTCAAAGGGCTCGCTTGGCCCAGCGGTGAGATTTTGGGGTCGCTTGCTGGACTGAGCATTCCTGAAGACTCCCAAAGACACTTTTCAGGGTAATCAGAGATTCCTCTGTTGAAGGTGCCACAAAAATAGGTTCATTGATCCTTGTCTGTGAGAAGGGAAAGAGCTGGGTGAAAATCAGCATGCTAGAGGATGCTTAGGGAGCAGTGGGGAGGGTTACAAAACAGGGTGTGAGATCAGGTGTCTTACTCACCCTATTGCATGATCAGCACTCCAAGTATCTGGTCTACGAAGTTCTGTTTCTGTGAGACACTGGAAATGAGGACAGAGTTCAGGGCAGTTTCCAGCTGCCTACTGGTTGGCACTTGGCCTGGTATTTTTCTATTTCTTCTTCACCTCTACAGAGGAAGGGCTGCTGTGGATTCAGAGCATGTAGCAAACACTTGCTGCTGCTTGATGAAGGATTATCACCCGATAACAAGGTGATTCTTGGAGAATGCACTTTGCTGCACAGCCAGTATAGGAAAGAAACCAGAATGTAAATATCTTATCTGGAATGAGATGCCTAGATGAGGGAAACCCTCTGGTGATATGACTCCTTCAGCATCAGTGGGATAGAGCTGCAGAAGTCACCTTATTGTTTACATAGTTTGGGGATTTTGTTTTCCTTGTTCACCTTTTTCTTAGCCACATTCATCCATTTCTTTATGCTACACTGAACAAAAATGGTGAAGTGGAAATAGTCATACAGGTCACGTCTATACAGACTCCTTTTGAATGTGCTTTCCAGACTTTTTGGTGGGGAAAAAGGAATGGTATAGGAAGCTGTTTCAGTCCAGCTTGTGCTTTTGCAATATGTGGAGGTTGCCACAGTCTTTGATCTTCTATGTCATGCTGTATCTTCTATGGAGCTCAGAGACCAAGCTAGATCCCATTATTCCAAGGCAGAGGCATCAAGGCATCTGTAAGTCAAAGAAGACTTATTACCTTATTCCTGGTAGCACAGCTGAAGCAAATGAAAGGGAAAAGCCAGGAGGCACAGGGTAAAAGTTGGACTAGAATTCAGGAAAGATTGAGACAAAAACTCCAATTCAGTTGCTCAGGGAAATTGGATTATCAAATTTAATTGTGTTAAGAACAATAGTGTTCATTATATTTGGCACTGAACAACCCTGGGCACAAACACTAGTTATTTAGAGCCTCGTCAGGCAGCTGTGGAAGGAAATGGCAAACTCCCACTGGCCTCTGTGGGTGTGAGATTGAGCCCTATGCAAACAAATATTGATCACCAAGTGCCAAGAGAAGGATAACTTTAACCTAAAAGTGTGGCAGACATATGGGCTGAGGTATCGTTCATCTCCATGCATCCCTGTTGTAAAAACCAGTACTTCCTAGACTCTTTTGCACCTTCCTTCCCCGTCTCACAGTGTGCCATTGTGCATTCTTCTTGCGCAGACCATTTTTGATGGATTACTTACATCCCTCATCTCCAGTGGTACTGTTGTGTTCATGTGGTATTTCAAACCAATTGCTTTTCACTAGAACAGTTTCCCCTGAAAACAAATGTTCCCCTTGTGTCTTTCTTGTCAAGCTCTGCAAGTAAACACAAGGTATCACTGACTTATTCTTTCAAAGGACCCAGACACTTAATGCACTGACCAGATGCTCGTGTTCATCTTGGCGAAAATGCTTTTGGTTGAGAGAAAATCAATCCCTTGTTGATTTTTGAGAAGGAGGCAGTGTTTTAAAACCAACTGCATGTCAGTTTTGACAATGAAGATCAAATTGATGGAGCTTTTTTGTTTGTGCTCCAGAAAGCACAAACTTCATTAGGCAGAGTGGCTTTTTGAACCATATGGCCTCTCTATTCTCCCAGTCCTTCAAAGGAGAAAAAACCCTCTTATTCCAGCTTTAATGCTAACAGCAAACATGTAAAACCACACAGGTGTCGGACATGGGCAAGGTGGTTAAGATATTAAATCTAGAATAGCATTAAAGGATTCATTAAACATTGGGACTTGAAAAAATGAAATTCATATTGACATGAAAACATTCTGGAAATTTAATCAATAATATCTGGAAAATATACAGTAGCTTATTGAAAGGTTTTGGAGTTATGCTGTATGCTTTTAAGTGAGCTATGCCACACCATTGACAAGTAAGGATTTGTCACCCCTGTGCTATATACATGTGGGCTGCAGCAGGATAAGGTGATGGTTTACCCAAGATCCTACAGAGAGGTGAGACTAAATTCACCAGTTTTCAGCCTCTCTACCTGCATTCAGTGCTGTGTAATTCTTGTTAATCTCAAGTCTTATTAACATCTGTATTCCATTATGGTACAGAAAAGCAACAAATATTGTGACATTTTACAAAAGAGTAAAAAGGGCAGTGGATCCACCAACATTGTTGAGGGGGGGCAGACATGGCAGAGGTGAGCTCCATGGTTGGACTCTGTGAGATGTAATAATTTAGGTAGAAGCCTGCTTGGATGTTGCTTTGAGGCTTTCAGGACAGATCTTGCTTGCAACCAGCCAGCTGAGTGCACGAGCAGAGCAGACTTAGGTCTGCCTCTACACGTCTGGTAGACGTGCCTACTCATTGCCTGGCTGGAGAACTTCTCAGTCTGCAAGTGCGGGTGAGACGGATTACAGTGATTTTACAGATGGTAACTAGGACAAGGAGAGACCAGGTGATTAGGCCAAGACCACATAAAATACGAGCTGTGACTCTGAGTTGTGTCTAAACCTCTTAAATCTCACCATAAAAGACTATTCCTCCTTCATAACACTTACTAAAGCCTTTTCTTCCTAATTTAGCATCATCCTACTGCTCTGTTGGAAGGGAGTCTTCTCTTATATTACGTTTTTGATCTTCCTTCTCAGACATAGGTTTTGCCAACACAGATGGTAGCAATTGGTTTCTGCCCTGCTTATTTCCCCATCTTCTCAGGCTGCAGGGCCTGGATCCCAAAGATCCAAGGAATCCTGCTCTAATACACCCCTGCATGAAATGTAAGCCAGTAAAAGCAGATTACCAGTATAAGTCAAAACTACAATTTCCTCTCTTAGCTGTCCTTAATAGTTTTTGTGGCTCACCACAAGATTTGGGATGCCAATTACACTGCAGGCAGACGTACAAATGCTGGAAGAGTAACTTTAATCAGTATTAAATCACATTGCAGTTATTAAGTACAATGGTTCCTTATTTCAGGGAATTATGTGTAGCTCATCAAAACAAATGTGCTGTACCTTCCCAAAAAATTATATGTACAATGATGCCCATGAATATCTTATTTTTAAGGGGTTTTTCTGCAGCTGAATCAATTCAGAAGAGCTGATTTATAACCTAAAGGTGTGAAAAGTAACATCATTTCGTTTATGCTTGGTTGAAACCTGCGGTTTCTTTACTACAGAATTAAAAAATTCCTTGCCAGCGTGTTCTAAAAGGAAACCTAAGGCCAAAGAGGAAGAAACAAAGTGTTGAATAGCTGCTCCTTATTTGAAAACTATCCACCTTGTGTGCTGAATGGAGGCATGTTCTGCAGGAAAAAAAATAGCAGGTGGTGGTGTAACTGAAGCCTCTGTCGAGCTGTGACCAGCTTGGAGAAACTGTGAGGTTGCACACATGGAGCCATCATGCACTCCAGCCGTCAGCCCTCCCTGGGAAATCTTAGCCCAAATGGGTGAGATTTTCCTGACTTATAAATAACTTAGAAAACAAAGTATTCTAACATGGAAGTGCTCAAGAACGTCTGTAACCATCTCCTTCTGCAATAATAAACAGTATCCCTAGTTCCAGAGGTCTGGACATTTTCTGAAGGGAAAATTGTTGGTGAACAGCTGTAGGAAGGACTATAGGTAAATATTTATGCTGTAGCACAATGACCTCTTTCAGTAATGCACAACACAGAGGACTTTTCACTTGCAGAAGTGTTATGGGCCAAATCCTGCAAGGTGTGCCAGCATTACAACATGCAGGGCTATTGCTACAGGTGCTGCTGGTAAATACTTCATCTTGCATCAGTTGCTCAACCAAGTGATGAAAGATCAAATCTGCATCCATGACTCTTATTACCTTCTGTAGCACATAAAAAAACCCCACAACAAACCAGCAACAAGAGCAGGGTTTGGGATTGTCTCTGCACTGTAGCCTTCTTGCTTCACTTGGTGTTTGTAAACTGCCAAGGACACATTTCACTTGGGTGCATCTCAGCACGAAAAATAAATGTAAAATAACATGTAAATAATGAAAAAAATGAAAAATAACATGAAAATCCAAGGAACAGCTTCTTCAGTATTTCTTTTTCTTGCCCTATATCTCCGACTGCTGCAGTTGTTTATTCTCTTCTTCTTGTGTTTTTGGAGGAAGATTTTGGTGAAGAATCCGTCATCTATCCAGTTCATATCT